CCCCAAAACCCCAAAACCCCAAAACCCCAAAACCCCACATGAAAAGTCTTTGGTTGAATTAATAGAATATCCTTAACCTAGATCTTACTAGTTACATAAAGTCAAGATCGTCTCTTCCATAATCCTGGTATTGGTCGCCTCCATAATCGTAATCTTCTCCTTCACCATAATCTTCATTTTCGAACATGTCGTTAGCCATGGCTGTGTTCATGACAACGGTGTCTTGGGCTTTGGAGACGCCAGCGAGACCTGCTTTCTTTTTACCTTTACTTTTCTTCTCTTTCTTTTTATCATCATCTCTTTTCTTATCCTCATCTTCCTTCTTCTTGTCAATTGCATTGTTGAATTCCTTGACGATGAAAGCCATCTTTCCTGTAGTGATCTCAGTACCGAGTTCATGGAAAAGTTGACTGAAGAATTTTGGGATCTGTCCTGGACTTTTCCCATTAGTTTTCAGATAATCAGCAACATCTCTAGCGAAGTCTTTGTACTTCTTCTCACCCTTGATTTCGGTCAAGGAGGTTACGAATCCGCCGGTTTTTGGGGTTTCTGGTTCATTGTCTCCTCCGAATAAGTCATCTCCGATTTTCTCTTCAGCTTGTCTGGACATAAATTCATCAATTTGAATTTCTGTGAAATTAGGATTTTGCTTTTTGACTTCTTCTCTCGTGAGATCTTTAGTTTCTTCGTCAATTTTGTGCCTTTCTGCGAATTTTTTGTCATAATCGACCTCATCCTTCTTTTTCTCCTTTCTATTATGTTCAATTTCTGCTTGAATAATTTTCTTCTCTTCAAGTCTTTCCTTTTCCTCTCTTTCTTCTTTATCTTTATCGACTAGTTCTTCGTCTTCGAACTTTTTAGTGTCTTGAGTTTGCTCAATATCGGCATCTTCATCTGCAAAGTCTTCCCAATCAGACATTTTCGTGTTTAAGTTGGATTTATTATTTATTATAATGAGTTTGGGGTTTTGGGGTTTTGGGGTTTTGGGGTTTTGGGGTTTTGGGG